TAAAAGGAAGTATTTCTCCACACAATGCATAGGGAAGCTATGAAATTTACTGCCACAGGAATTAGGGGTGGCCACCAATTTGGGCAGGTCTAAAAGAGTATTAGACATGGAAGGGAAAGCTGTCAGTGGCTGACCCTGTGCTGCCTCTGGTATCAGCGGTGGCACACCTGCATGCACCAGTTGCTGGGATGCTTGGGCAGGTGGAACGCTTGTCCCCATTCTGCTTGAAGGATCCTGTGAGCAGCTGTTTTGCCAGCACGTGAACCAAGTACTCGACTGGATTGGTCTGATCCAGCATGGCTTTTCTCATGTTCTTAGGGAGAGCAGCACCAGGATGTTGACAGGCTGGTGTAGCAACTGAAACAAGCTTTTGTGGAGACACCTGTATGCTTTCATCATCCAGTTGTCATGGAAGTAACAGGAATGAGCCAAGCTCTCCCCCTCCTGCTTTTGGCAAATCTGATGCCAGTTTTAGCCATGTGGAAAACACCCTGATTTGTCTTAAAGGCAGTGGTTTAGCTTTTATCTTGGAACTGTAGGAAGATGGCCAAAATCTTCAGCTGGTCTCTGGCCAAACTGATGTAAGTAGCAGGAGGGGACATCTTGGAGTTTGAGAAGGAGGTGCACTTAGTGGGAAAAGCAAGATTCCCAACTAGAATCAAAAGTCTGCTTTTAGATACTTTCAAGATACATTTCTATAAAAGCCATGTATAGCTAGAGAATTTTACTATGGTTGCTTTTTTGCACTAATAGTGAACCGAGCCAGTGGACTCCTAAGGGATAATTTTGTATTACAATTCTCATTTGTATGTTGCCTTATTTGCTAGAAAATCATCAAGACAATCTACAGCAATTTAATACAATAAAATCTTAAAACAAAAAAGCAAGGTAGTTAAAAGCAAGAGAAAATAAAACAATAAAACAATGGCATCATTTAAAAGGCTAGATTAAAGTTGTGTCTTCAAATCCTTTCTAAAAGCAAAGAGTGTAGAGGCCAATCAGCTTCATCACTTATACCTACTTCAGCCATTATTTGTATCATGGAGTTGGAGTGTTTCTTATCTTCAGTCTCTTCTTATTGCTCCAATGTTGTCCACAAGCTGCTCCTTAAGCACCCAAGCTCTGCTCTTTTCTTTGCATTACTTCTTTCTTTCTCACACCCTTCATAGGACACCTGTAATCTCCTGAGCTTGCAGGATTGAGGGCATCCGGACCAGATTCCATCCTTTCATGATTTGTCAAATGAACAAGAAATAACCTTTAGCCTTCCAGGAAATTTGAAGGATATTAATATAGCTAAGAATCCTAAGGGCTCCTTTTGCATCCATTAATAGCCTAATCTAAGAGGAAATGGAAAAAATTAAGTAGCAAAATCACTGGCAAACAGGAGCATGTACGGAACATAACTACTGTCTTGTAAAGATGTCTGAAAATTAATTAATTGCATATTTTAAGTGGGTTCATTGTAATTTTAAGATAATTTATTTCTACCTTTATGCCTACCTGAAATTATTTTATTCAAAGAACACTTTAGGGGGCAATTCCATGTTCCCACAGAAGCCAGCGGAGGGGCCATAGAATGTGTCTCAAAGGCTCCTCCAAGGGGGTCCACTGGAGGGAGAAGTCATCGGCTGCTAGAGGTCCCCCAGTGCAACATGCGTGGAGAGTGAGTGGGGATCTAGAGAATTCTAATCCCCCTAATTTGCCTGGGCAGCCCTCAAGCAGGCTCCCAAACCGTATCAGCCCTGGGCAGCATAGTTAGTCCCCACCAATAGGCACACAAGTATGATTAAGCCAAAGAGCCAGTGTGGTGTAGTGGTTAAGAGCTGGGACTGGGACTCAGACGATCTGGGTTCTAGTCCCCGCTCAGCCACGGAGCCAACAGGGTGACTTTGGGCCAGTCACAGACTCTCAGCCCAACCTACCTCTCAGGTTTGTTGTTGTGGGGATAAGATGGAGGAGGAGAATGATGTAAGCTGCCTTGAGCCCTTTGTAGGGAAAAGGCAGGATATAAATCCAAAAATAAAATAAAATAATAAATAAATTAAAGAGAAAGGAAAGAGAATAAGCAGAGGAAATTTATTTTTTAAAACAATCTGCCCTCCAACTTCCATTCTTGGCAGCAGCAAGCCTGGGCTTTGGAATAGCATGCCTGCTCCAGAATCGAATCCTCTCCTTCACTGTCATATGATTGTTTTCCAAATGGCAGGAGCCACCCTGTGGGTAGAACCAGAAGTTTTCCTGAAAGAGAGCAGAGGAGGGCAGGTTTCTGTTTGGATTCAACTCTTTACATGGGCAGATGCCTCTCCCACTTCTTGAGAATGCTACCTTGATGTATTCTGTTCTGTAACCTGAGTTTTAATAAAAGAACAACACTTCTAAATTTTCATCTGAGTCTGCTGGAAAAGAAAAGAGGGAGATACCTGGTCACAATAATTATGTGGTTGGCATTTTATTTAGGATATGTACCTGTTTCCTCATTCTGCTAAATGTATTTCAGGGGGATTCCTATGCAAATTAGCCTTTGTTCTGTCTAAGGTTGCATAGAATTGTACCCTTAGTATCCTCTTCAGGATTGCATTTTATCTGACCACGTTTCTCTTCCCTTGCAGATGTTTACTTCATTGCAACTTTATCATTCCTCTGGAAGGTGACAGTAATCACGCTGGTCAGCTGTCTTCCTCTCTACTTCCTAAAGTATCTGAGGAGAAGATTTTCCCCCCCAAGCTATTCAAAACTCACATCCTAGGTGGTTCTACAGATGAAGCAAAGACTTTTTTTTCTTTTTGCACAGTGCTCACAGACAAAATAAATGCGTATTCATCATAGTAACAGCAATGTCCAGTGACTGCGTACAGTTCATGCATTAGCTGGAGAATGTTGCTGAAAGACTAACGCACATTTAAGCAGAAACTTAGGAGTCAAGTAAGCAGAGGTGACTTACATAGATAATCCAGTTCTTGTCACTTTATATTTATTTAACTGAAGGCCAATGCATGTAACTGAAAAGAAGAGTTGTCTTCCAGTGAGCAAGCAGTCAGCTTACCTGGAAATTGCTGAGCAAGATATTGTTGTGACAAATTTTTGAAGTGAATTTTCCCTTTTTTTAATTTCTTCATGTTGTTTTATATTACTATTTATCTTTTTTTTAGTTGCAGTCTTGATTATAAGCATTTGTATGTCTTGGGAAATACTTTTAAAGGGGTGACATAACATGCTGTTCACAGGTAACGGTTAGAGGATGGTACCATGCTGGTCTCTTTTGATGTGTTTCAATGCAAACCAAAGTTGCAATTTTCAACTGGTTAAGGTTTTCTTTATTTCCCCTTTAAAAAAAGAACGGGAGAAAGAAAACCCACAGTGAGTTTTTCCTGCTGTGATGTTGCCCAATTATTTTTAAAGGAAATAGCTATTGTCAGGAAAGAGAAACAACCGGCTTTATTCAGTGCTAGTGTTTTATAGAGAGAAGAACTGTGCCATTCCGACTAGCTGCGCAGTGTAACCTGGCCCCTTGGGGCTGAAACCGCCCATTCAAAGGCAAGCATAAGCTTCCTAATTCTCCTTGTTGACCTAGTCAGTGCTCATGTGAGAACAGGAGGCCATGCTCGTGCTGGAACCAAAGAATGGGGTGCTTAGCACTGACTCTGTAGGCCTCCTCCCCTTCTTGCCATTCACCACCCCCCCCCCCGCCAGAAATCGAAAATAAGTCTGACTAGAACAATAGAAAACAAAGGAGAATTGGCAGGTGGGTAACGGCAAAGTCCCCGCCCGCTCCTGCTGCCTTTTAAGTCTCCTCTACAAACATCTCGCCCACATTCCTGTTAACCAACAAATACGTCTTTCCTGGGGTAATGTCTATTCTCTCCTAATGGGGGGTTCATCCAGCATACCTGACCAGTATACTACGTCTCTGCTGCTTTTTGTTGTCCACCCCCTTCATCTTGCTGCTTCCAGAGGCTACAGGCCGTCGGCAAACATGCACAGTACTGAATGTTGATGTGCAAACTACAACTGAGCAGACATGACACCAGATACAGCTACATATTCAGGGCAGGAGACTGCCCCGGATGGCAGATCAGAGAATGGAGCTTGGCTGGCTGACAATAATAATAACACTGCCATATTACAGAACAAGCTACTTTAACTTTCATCGACATGTTGGAAGGAAATCTGCTGCTAATTGTCCCTTTTGAAAGTATCTGAAATGTTATTCCACAGAAACATAACAGATGTATGATGAATCATTAGACTTGAAAGGGAAAGGTCATGGGATCCTTGCTATTTACTGTAAAACTTTTTTTAAATGTTTCCTGTTAAACCCAAGCTGCAGCTTCCTATATATTATTGAACTCTACCACTTCAGAATACAGCTGGGGAATCATATGTTTGAATGTTCTCCCCATGCTTTTTTTATTAACTTTCTGCACATGGAAAAATACGTCACGGAGAAGGCTACTTGAAAATCCTTTTCCCTAACATGCTAGTTTCTATGACTGCTGCTCATATTTGTCAGCTTTCAAATATGCTCCTCTACACATACAGTGGTAAAGTCCAGGGAGAGCTGTACCATGTGGTGTTTTTAAATGTGTAGTTGTGTTCCCAGTGTGGGTGAATGATGCAAGTGTTGAAATTAAAACCAAATATGTGGATTTCCCACTCATGGCAAGTCACAGTATCTGTCATTGGATATGTCTTGCTTGCAGCAGAAACTTGTGCAAGTGGCATCAGGAAACAACGAAGGTTTTCTCCAACAAATGACTGGCTGTTCCTCCAAGGGAAGGGGACATTCCTCCCCTCCCCAAGCATCCGGCACACTTCATAAAAGCTTGCATTAACCATTGATTTACAAGTTTCACCCTACTAGCTACAAGGTGTATTGTGGAAGATGTTTCTAAAGGGGGAGTGTGTCTACATGACAAAAGAATGTTTTAAAGTGAAGCACTGTGGAAAATGAACATGCAGGAGTTGGAAGTTCCTGATGCAATTACTTGATCTAGGAGAGTGTGACAAGTGCAGAAGATATTGCTGCTCTGTTCCGCATAATCAAAAGGATCCCTGGTGAATGGGTAACCCTCGAAGCAGAAAGGAAGGCTTGCTGGCAGCTGTCTTCGTGACAATGTGCTTCCTGGAAAAGCCGAAGTGCCAGAAGCAGCACAGCACCGCTGGGAATTCCGTTTTCCGAATAGGCTCAGAAGAGTGCAGCCAAGTCCATAGGTTTCAAGGCATAAAATGGTGTCTTCTGCAAAGCATTTACCATGGGGGTGGATTCCAGAAGCTCAAAGAAGCTACATCTACATCGCTACATCTCCTCTTCTTTTTTCCATCATTGGCCCATAGCTCTAGAAAAGAAGAAAGTATGTGGCATTTCCCCCTACCAAGCAGACAATGTGAGTCCACTTTGAGTGGATTATGGAAAATGGACGTCATACAAGAAGAATATCTGTAGGACAAATGTTATGCATTCAGTTCATTTCTACATGGGATTCAGAGTTGTAGGGTTTGTGATCCTTTGAACATTGTAGAGTCAGAAGAAAAGCACCATGAAACATGGAGCCATCAAGTCCAGTTAAATTAGTGGTATTTGAGCAGATACGAAAGCATCTAAGTTCATTTGAAAGCTATTTCTGTGGGATTTAAGCATGCTTAACTCCAGATGGAAACAATTTTAAGGGGGAGGAGAGTCAGAGGGCACTATAAAGACAACTTGACCAAAAGACAGCACATTCACATTCAGCCAGTGTATCTTTTTAAGCTTCTTTTACTGCCTCTCTTTTCATTCTATAAATATAATGCTTTTCTGAGTGTATCTTGGGGTGTCCTTCTCCACACAAGTCCTCTTTACGGTAATGGGGGTGTGCAAGACCATATTAGTAGCAATGGTAGATAGCACTGATTATTTTGAATCAATACAGTTTACGCTGAATGACCACCATGTCATTTGTGGCCATATTAAACCAACAAGAAAGGGAAATAATTGGAATTAGGTTCAGTAATATTTATTGGACTCTTATTTGGTTTCCAGTAACAGTTAATGCTTTGTGGAAGCCAGGACATGGAGCCCCTCTTGCACATGGCTGTATCTATGAAGTATTTCTTCTGAGATTATGCTGAGTAGTTTAGTTTTGTGGGTGCTTGTGAATTTTTTTTAATTGCTCAAAACATGCCAGTGGCATCAGCTGATTTCTTTTTTATGGTGATGACTATAACATGTTAGGGTGAAAATTGCAAATTGTGGTGGAGTCTACTGAGATAAAAACAGATGGGAGAAATGAAGCATCCTTCTTAAATTCCTTTAATTTTATGAACCTTGGAATCATGCATATTGGGATGCCAGTTCACTGAACTGAAATAGAAGTTACACAAAGGCACAGTTTGGAGTGAATTCCAGTTTGATCAACTGGCAAACATTCTGTAGATTGTGCACTGTACTCTGTGTGATACAAGATAATTTGGCAGCATTACTTAAAATGAAAAAAGTAGCAAAGTATTTGTGGTTCATCTATTGCTTAATGAAGGTTGCTGATAACTACTTTTTCTCTTCGCATTTGGTTATTAAAATTACTTTATTTTTGCACTGACATAACAACCTCTTCATTTTTGCTGCTTCATTAAATATATATATTGCACCATACTTTTCCAATACACCTTTGATTATCCTCTGTCCCCTTCCACTTCATGTTCTTCCTACTATTTTTTGCAGAAAATAAAACAGAGTTGCAGTCTTCTACATACTTATTTAGGTATAAGTGCTGTTGATCCCAGGGGAACCTATATCTGATTAAACATACATAATAGTGGGTTAAAATCTACACTTTATATTAGTAAAACTATAACTTGTCCCCAATTCATGGAAGAGGCTGAGATGAAGAGACTGGTTGCTCCAGATGGCAATCTCATTTTTCCAGTAGAGCAGAGGACATGTGTATTCATGCACTTGAGAGGGGAGCTCATCTTGCAGTGAGCCTTTTTTTAATGATCAGATAAGGTGGCTCCCCTGCTCGAGTTCTCAGTGTCCCAAGATTTGTTTATCTTTTCATTGTCAGGAATTGGTGCAAACTTTTATCTGGGTCTTCATCAACAGTAATGGGAAGAACTGTCCATTAGATGCTTAGGGCCCCTTTGCAGGCACAGTGCACACGATAACATTCATAATTGTGTTGGATAGAATGTCTCGGATGGAAGGGATTGCATTTTCTCTGCAACCCATTATGGCTTCAGTGCTAGGAAACAGTGATGCTCACACAGACCTTAGACTGATGTCTTTATTCTGCACAATAAATAACAACTGCAGAGTTATAGCACTAGGGAAGAGGTAGTCAACTGTTGCATCCAGATGTTTGGACTATAATTCTATCAGCCCCAGCCATCATGGGCAATGGTCAGGAATTATGGCTGTTATGGCTCAAACTTTCGAGAGGTCAGGAAGAAAAATATTAGGAAAACTCTTGTACTGACTACATGAATCCTTGCTAGCCCATCCAGTTGTCCTTCACCCCTGTTGAAGCATGCATGTCACAGCTCTCGCACTTAGCCTGATGGTGGTTGTACAATGTAAAGACCACTATGAACCTTCCACTCAACATCTGTTGAAAATTTTGCAGGTCTTCTGTCACTTGTTAGCATAACAAGGGATCTCCTAAATTATAAAGTAAATAAAGTGTTTCACATGCAAAGGGTCCTTTCAAACCTGGTCTTAAAACTCTCATCTTCCATGTATAGCCTATGGGGACTTCCCATTGTCTGTCTAGTCCCTGTGTTCTTTTCCCACTGACCTTCTGCTCTTAATGGCCATTTATGTTATTTTCTCAGAAGTCAGCTTTCCTTTGGATACATAATGCACTTGTTCATAATATATGCAGTGCACAAAGAAATACAGACAGGTGTTTCAGCTCCAGCAATTACTGTGAGCATGAGGTATACTGGAACCGATAATATCCCAGTAACAGTTGGACAGAGGGTATGATTAGCCTGCCCAACAATTTAATTAGACCTAATTAGAAATAGCATTTGATAAATCGTCCTAAGACAATACCATGTCACAATACAGACATGAACGCTTTATGTCCCCATGAAGTAAAATTTCTCATTACTTTTGGAAAGATAAGATGCCAGGTAGAAGTGTTAGGAATTCATCTCCCCATGGTGCTGGCATTTCACCACAGATGAATAGTCCCCATCTCTGGGCATTCTCAACAGAACCAAGTGGGCTATGCCAATTTTTTCCCTAATGATTGAACGCTCCAAAGCTTTTGTCAACTGTGATCAAGTTTGTTATTGTCACCTAATGACTTATGTATTTCTATGCGGTTGGATATGGAGCGACCCCTCCTACCCTCCCCCCCCTTATGTTGGGGAAGTGAATCATCTTGTCATACTCTTTGTGATGCTGATGTTTTGTACTTGTCCTCTTAATGGAGATGTGCATATTCTTGATGCAAGAGAAATATAAATGCAAATTAATTGTTGTGTAGTTCTGTGTTGCTGATGTGTGAGAACTTTTCAAAAAGGAATGGTATAAAACAGGTTTAAATAAATTTTATGCGAGTTCCTATCTAATTTGTGAAATAGCAGGTGAGTTGATGTCTTCTCATGATATTTTAAAACTTTATATCTAGTGAGGATAGATTATTCATTACTACTGCTCCTATTAACATTTAACATGGGTTTAGCACCAAGAGAGTGACCTTCCAGATGCCACAATTATAAACCAGAATCCATTTCCAACTGGATTCCAACCTATGTTAGGTGGACTACACAGAAAATTCATGGAGGGATAATATAGGACTTGGTGAATCCACAGTAAGGCTGGTAGAGGTACCAAATGAGGCTTCAGTGAAGGTAAAACTTGTAGTGTTCAGGAGTTAAATAAATCTTGAATAACAACTTGGGTGGTTCCAGTTGAGTGGATTCTAATGGTGCCCAATCATTGCTTTCCATTGCAGTTGGGCATTCTGCATGGCAAACTGCATCTTTGGAGTAGGATATCATGCAATTTTTAGTTAAAATGTTCCTTTTATCCCCTACATCTGTATGCAAGCACTTTTATAAATTGAAGCACTGTTCCACAATCACTTCAGAAACTTTATAAAATGTTTGAACATGTTAACTGCTTTGGCACAAATTAAGCTTAAAGATGGCAAACATGTTGGTTGACAATGGAAGGACATTTCAATGTTAGGGTACAATCCTCAGGACTTGGAGGCTTGCAAGCATCCAGGGCAGAGCAGGGTTGTTTTGAGGATGACATTGAAGGAGCAAGAGGATTATAGAAGCAGCCATGAATTTCTTGCAGGAAAAAGGTGGGATATTACTAGAATAAAGAAAGATGGAGAAATAGCACTAAAGCTCTCCATAGGGAGTGCAGGTCTGTTTCAATCTTGCAACAATTAAAGGTAACTTTTCTATAATCTAGAAGAAGATGAACAGAGGGTATGTAGATGCCCTGTGAAAACAGAATGGATGATATGTAGCAATTCCACATTAGCCTAGTGCAGATTTTAGAAGGGCTTAATCAGTCAAACAAAAACCATTTTCAGGCATGAAAGTGCAGGTATTGAAAGAAAGGTAACAGGAGATGACCATTAGCAAAAACACACAAGAACTGACAGAACATGTGCATATGGAAAACTCCTAGACAACTTCCAATCAAAAAAGCTGTGTACAGTTATTTTCATCCTTCTTGATGGATTTCTTTCTGGTTATTTAAAAAAAACCGGATTGAAGGAGTGGTAGGAAAACCCAGATGGCTAGCAAACTGATGAAGTCATTTGTAAATGTGGGGACTGTGGAGCTGCAATTGTACAGAAAACATCATCCGGAGGGCCCTTTGATTTGCATGGCATGGTTTTCCGCATGCAAGCAGTCCCAAAATGTGTGATGTATTTCTGGGTCATCAGAAAGAACAGTGTAAACCATTTAAAATATGTAAATGAAACTTGAATGCTCTTGTTGGCTTTAATGGAGCAAAGTTTAGCTTCTGTATTGCACCCTGCATTTTCACATTTAGCAGGACTAAGCCGAGTGTTAGAAGGCTCAAGGGCTACACTCTTTGAGGAGCTAGTACTGACCATGGATAGCCGTCGTGGAATCCTGGTTTCCTACACAAAAATTGGCCTCAGCATTATTCCTGTTCACAAGCAAAGAGCAAGTGAGCTTGGCCTTCCTATGACAACCGCTAACAGTTCCTGTCCAGTCTCATAGCCACCTCTGACAGACCACAAAAAGGTTGTGACGCTTGCAATTCATGTTACAAAGGACATGTATCGCCATAGCGGCTCATTCTAACCTACCTTAATATTTGTGATTCACTCCCTACTAAACTGCAGTAGTGTGTAGTGCAGACAGATCCTGCAAGGTTTGCCCACTAGGTGGAACTTGAGTATTGATGTAGGCTCCGTCCGCTGTGTGTTTTCTAGAACCAGTTAGTCCCAGAGTACCCAACTGTCCCAAAGTTACATACCATCACTGGAAATTAAGGTTTCAGCTACATTTGCTGCAAGAGCTGCTGTAATTCATGTCACAGGGCAAATGCTTCGCTTGCACGTGGCCTGAGGGTTCTTGGCACTCTCAGTTAAACGGATTTCAGATAGGAGAGGAAGGGAATGCCCTGCCTTAGAGAGTACCAGTCAAGCTAGACAGACAAATGATCTGATTCAGCATGTGAAGCACCTTCAAAGAAGTCATTAGGCTCCAAGGCTTTATTGGCATATCTCCCTTTCCCTATCAACTACACTTGTTCTTTGCCACAATGCTTTGGTTACAGCATCTATGTCTCATCTTGAGCTGCTGGGCAAATTGCATACCAGCATTGGCTCAGGGTGGTGAATGTGTTCATTTGTTTGTTTAAAGAATTTATATCCTGCCCTTCAGAAAGATTCTTTCAGGGCGGGTTTGCAACACACACATATGCAATCTCAGTAAAAATGCAAGAATATCAAGCCTCAAGAACAAATAAGCAGCATACATTTATTTCCTTATGTATTTTTTTCAGTATCACCCAATAGCCAACACTCCCTGGGTGGTTTGCAACAGTTTATAAAACAATAGAATAAATAGCCATCATTTTTCCAAAACACAAAAAATAAAAATTAATAACAGTTGAAATTATGTATGACAAAGGGCAGACCTCGAAAATGCTTGGAATGGGTAGCCCCCTCAAACCCTTGAATATCTTTGTATCTCTGCAAATGTTTCTGCGTAGGGGGCCATCCTAACCTGGTGCCAAAAGTAAACCAAAAAAGCAATTTTGTCAGGGACTACAATTGTTTAAAAGGCCAAGAATATATTTTTTAAACTTCTTGCTTGGTGCTCAAAGGAAAACAATACTGGTACTAAATGAACCTTTCTCAGGAGAGTGTTCCAAGGTCGCAGCACCACCAATGAGGAGACCCTGCTTCATCTCAGAAGCTGGGAGCACTTGCTTGAGGACTCCAACCAAAGGAGATCGTAACTTATTTCGACCTCCTGCCTTGTTTATTTTTTGAAAAATTGAAACATGTCCTGGGCCCAATACTAACGTACATCAGAATCACAATAGGAATAGTTCATGTGGTGTTTTTATCCTGAGACTTTTGTTCCCATAATGAGACTTTTGCATAAAACGGGATTGAAATTCTCCAAATAAATAAAATAAATGTACACCAAACAATAGCATCCCCCCACAAAAAATATTGAATGCAGATCATCTTGGTTTCTTTTTAAAGCTACAATTCTTAGCTAAAATCACGAACAAACAGAATTAAAATACATTGAGGAAAGGCTTTGCTATACTTTTAAAAAAATTAGTAGGCCAAACTATAGCTATACAAAGATCAGTAAGCCAAGCATCATAATTCAGATTATTTTGCATATCACCAGGACAGATCAGACTTTGAATTACCTGTATTTGCTGAAAGCTGAAAGCCAGTCTGATGTTTACTGAAACTTCCTGGGGGGAAAAAATTAGCCAGAGCAAAATTTTCTTTACCTGAGGCACTTTTCATTGGGGTCAAAAATTACCCCAAATGTGACTAATGCTAGTGCTAATACAGGATGGAATCAATAAGAATACAATTTGCATTGACAGAGCATTTTCAAGATCCTACAAAAATGTTGCAATGCACATCAGTGCTATCTCTGTGTAGAAGTGGGCGGGGGGGCTGAGCTTATCTAAGGCTCACTAGTGAATTTCTGGCAGATGTGGCAATTTAATCACACTTTGCAGTGCAGTTCTAAGAGACTTACTCAGACCCTTAATGAGTGTGATGGGACTTGCTTGCAAGTAAGCATTCGCTGGTTTGCAGTCTTTGTCCTACAGGCTTGTTTAATTTACGGTTTACTGGTTTGAATTATTGGTGTTTTTTTTAAAGGATAGGCCATCTTTCAACGTAACAGTTTAAAAGGTAGACAAGCAAAATAAAATCTTAGAAACAAGAGAAGGAGATAATGCCCTAAAAAATAGAACAGTGCCAACTATTAAAGGTGGGCTTAAAATAAGCTGTTTTTTAAAAATCCATTTAAAAGTCCCAGTGCTCAGTCTGGCATATCTAATTAGGCAACTGCTTCCAAAACTTAGGATCCATCAAGAATTTTTCTCTGCAGTGGCTTGTAACATGCTAGTACTGAAGATTGGCTGTAATAGATCTTAAACAGTGGGGAAAGTACATAAGTAGACTTTCCCTCTTGTATCTCAGGCCCTGGTTATAAACACTTTGAAGGGTAAGGAAAAGCATCTTAGAGTGATAAACAGTGAAGCTCATGTCAGACTGGTGAGAATTGATAGACCTTCTACAGGTAAGGGATGTTAAAAAAATTATTTTGGTTTTGTTACTCCATTTTTCAGGGGTGGTTACAAAAGATCCCAGTCATATCTGTTCATATTTGTTTATGTAGCCATTCATTATTATTAAAGGTTTTGTTATGTTCATTGACGGTCATGGTCTTTCTTTAAGTGGCAATTTGTTTTCATGTTTTGCCAGCATGGGTGGCAAGAGGCAGCAGAGCTGACTTTGGTGACTGTCTCCCAGGAAA